TTTGTACTTCGCCGCTTGTGGAGAAATATCCTGGGCCGTGAGTAGTGAGGAAACAGGAAGAGATTCTTGTGAGATGGAAGAGGGAAATAGTGATAATGAAGAAGGTTGGAAGATGGCAACATCAAAAAATGAGAAAAAGCGGAAAAAGGAGAGATCAGTTAAAGGAGAGTCCAGTTCAGAACAATCCAGAGATGATCAATCGACACATTCCATAGCAAAACAAAATGAATACAAAGTCATATTCAAAGTCGTTAATCAGGCAGACTCTTTTATAAATTGGAATTCGGTTCACTGAACAAAAAACATAAACTAGTTGGAGAAGTCAGAGGTGCCAGAATCCTGTGCAGTGGAGACCTGCTAATAAACTGCAGGGACAGCGCCCAGCAAGGCAAAGCAATACGAATCAATTAGATGGAGGGATAAGAGTTCAGTGCAGCTTAATGGAGAACAAAAAGATCAGCAGGGGAGTCATTGGAGGAGTTCCTCTAAAAGTTTCTGAAAAAGAGATTCTGGAAAACATAAGCGGTGCAAAAATAAAAGTAAAACGATTAAAAACAAGAAACAGAAAGATCTGACAGTTTATCGGTGCTAATTAAATTCGAGGAAGAGTAATTACCAAGCAAAGTATTCATTGGTTACATCAATTATAATGTCAAATTCTACAATCCTCCACCTTTGAGATGCTTTAAATGCCAAAAATTCGGACACATAGCAGCAGTTTGTAAAGGAAAGCAGAGGCGTGATGAAGACTAATTGTTAAAAAGAGAGATTTTGTTCTTTTCATGGTGGAAGTGATTAATTGTAGTGCACAGACGACAAAAAAAACCCCGAAAAAAATCAAAATAATAGTGAAAGCTGCAGAAAAATATCTGGACGTGAAAGATTTGAACTGGGAGATGGTTGGAAGCATGATGGGAGGACCGATGGGACCGATCAGAAACTGGCAGAGTGACGATGACTTAAAGTTAAATTAAAATTATGAGGGCAAATTTGATTTAGTATTATGTGGGATTAAGTTACACAGGATTTTTTTTTTTTCTGGGGTGAATCGTTTCCTGTTAACTTGCTTTACTCCATATCAGTTGGTGGCGGTAATGCAAATTTCACAACTTTGCCAACCGCCATAAAACCTCATAAGAAGAAGAAGAAGAACCGCCGGCAGCGTTATTCCTATAGCGGAAGACAGAAGAAGAAAAGCTCCGATCCGAGAAATAACTCCTCCGTTTGGGGTCATTCTTCAGCCATGGATGTCCCTGCGGCCGACAGCGAGTGGAGGAGTCCTCAGTTCCGACAGAAAGTCGTTGCTCAGATGTGAGAAATTTGATTCTCTTTTTTTTCTGTTTCGTTCTGTTTCTATCGGCTAGGTTAGCATTAGCTTAGCTAGCCGCTAATAGACATAAACGGTCTAGATGTAACTTACAAGAGGTCAGAATCAGCTTGTTTCTCATCTCACTCTGTTTAAACTTGTTCTAAGAGAACAAATAAGGCGTTTATTGGGATTTTAATTTCAGAGATAAGTGTTGTTTTCAGAGCAGTTTTAGTAGTTAGCATGTTTAGCTGCTGTGGCTAATCAATGCTATAAATAGTAGCTTCACATCCTGATTAATGTTTTTATAAATTCCAACAGAGAAGTCGTTTATGGTATTAAAACGAAATATATATTCATTTTTAGAAGAAAAACTAAGAATTATAATGAATAACAATCTTATGTTTAATCGTAACTGGATATTTTTGTTAAACTGTAGATTTTTTATCAACATTCCTGTGCTTGTTTTTATTCAGTGCTACACTTTCATTGGTTTCTATGTCATGATTAATTGACTGAAAATATAAAAAGGGCTTTTAATCTAAACCAACTTAATGAATAAAAAACATTATCAGCTGGAATTATTTTTACTCAGAACAACTGATGGTTTTCAGCATTTTCCTCCTAAATTACAGGAAGCCCTTCTCTCATGTTTCACATTTAAATATTAGGAACAAAAAAAAAAATGCTCCTTTTAGGACTGTCTTAAAAATATTATCAAACATATTTTATTATTATTATTTTTGCAAATATTATGAATAACTTAATTCTTTCTCTTATTCCAGAGCTGTCTCCCAGAGAACCTGTTAGAATAGGATAGAAAATCCCTTTATTGTCCCTCAATGGGGAAATTCTGATGTTTACAGCAAAACGATCATATAAAAAATGGTCACACAAACGTGGACCTTAGTAAAATGTATTAGAATAACATCACAGTGAAGAGTTTTCCAATGAACATCTCATTATCCAACAGAGATGTTCATTTAGTTAGGATCCCTTGGTAGAATACTCTGCGTGTTTTTAAGGTGTGATCTGTGATTTTGGTCCTCAGTGAAGATGCCATGAGAAAGGCTGGATCTGGAAACACCACGCACAAGTCAGGGACCGACATGGAGAACCATATCTTCCTCAAAGCCAAGAGCAGAGTGAGTCACGTCAGGAGATGAAGCTGACAGATTGGTGGAAAGTGTCATTGTTTATATTTTTTTATGCTAAAAGCTGTTGTTCCTGTGAGAATCAATCTTATGTGAGTAAAGCTGCAGAAAGAGACAAATGATCCTCCATGGTGCCTGTTGTGTGTTTTAGGAGGAATATCTCTCTCTGGTAGCGAGGCTCATCATCCACTTCAGAGACATCCGTGAGTTAAACTTTGGTTCTCCTGCTGTTCATCAGAAGCTGTAGAAGTGAAGCATGTAGACTGACTGACTGATGACTTTGTGTTCCAGATAAGAAGGCCATGGGAGCACCCGGTGAGTGGAGCTTTGCTGTCTCTCAGGGGTTCTTGGCCGTGTTCTGTCCCGGACCCGGAACCGTCTCCACCGGATTCCCGGCGCTCATGATTTCTGCTGTGCATGTTGGAGCTGCATAATGTTGTCTGTTGTTTACCCTCTGCTAGATCCCATGAATGCCCTGAATAACCTGACAGGGGTTGGAGGGGGCCCAGGCGCCATTGGCATGGGGCCTCGGCCCCCCGGCGCTGCGGTGGGGGGCATGGGGGCCATGGGGCAGATGCAGTTAGGCCAGCATGCCATGGCCGGGGTGTCTGGAAACCCACAAGCCAGTGAGTGTGTTTCCTGTTGATGCGCTTTGTGAATGCAGGCTGCGTGGGAACGGGCCGCGCTCCCTTTCTGCTTAGGCATGTTGTGTGTTTGAGCCGACTCCAGAAAGGTTCCGGGCTCAGAACCGGGTCATTCCTTCCCCCTCCTTCCTTGGCAGTGGGCGGTCAGATGTCGGTGCAGCAGATGGTGCAGCAGCAGCAGTTCCAGCAGTTCCAGCAGCAGCAGAATGCTGCCCTCCAGCAGCAGCAACAGCAGCAGCAGCAACAGCAGCAGTTCCAGCAGCAACAGCAGCAGCTCAGGGTGCTGCAGCAGCAACAGCAGCTGCAGCAGCAGCAGCAGCAGCAGCAGCAGGCCCAGAACCAACAGCACCAGCAGAACCAGGTACTCCTCATCCGGATCACAACTAGAATAACTTCAGAACTGGGTCTCAGATGCACTGCAGGTTCTGATGATGTTTGGGCGCCGATGAGGTTCTAATGTCTGCCGCCTGTTTCCTTCATCCTAGATTCAACGGTTCTCATCTGATTCTGATTAATCAATTAAGTTTTTTTGTTTTCTCTAAATTAGATGAATGTATGAATTTTAGCTTCTTCATCATTTAGAACACGACGGTCCAAAATGTTGACCCTGGTTCCTGCATGAGCATCATTTCATGGACATTAACAAGCATCAGGTAAAGCTGATTGCTTCTGGAGCAGCAATGATGCCGCCCGCCCCCCAAAAAAATAAAAGAATAGATAAAAATAAAGCAGATTGAGCTGCTAGGAAGTTTGTTGGTGGGCGTGAATGCAGGGAGGATCCATCACACTCACCCTATGATGGGAGTCTGGAGGAGAAGTTACTCCGAGGTTTTAGAGAAGCTAGACGCCACAACTTATGACAGGGCATCCGTAGGTCATTAAAAATCCATTAAATATTTTTTAAATTAAGGCCTTAATTTGCATTAAAATACATTACATGTGATTATCGTGGCATTTAAAATGCTTTATTAAAAAAATGTTTATGAATAGTTTTGTTAGATAAATCAGATATAATGGCTCCATGTGTTGATCGTTAAGCCGAATGTTTGGAAAAGAAGCTCAATGTGGAGAAAAAGCTACAGAATGGGGAAAATGCTCATTTCAACAAAAATGGCTAAAAAAAACGACATGACTGCAGCCTGTCGACAGTTAAACAATTACAAAGGATTCTGCCATGTTTTTTATACCCTATTTTCACGACTATAAGGCGCATATAAACATCTTTTTTCCCCTCAAAATGTGCGGTGCGCCCTATGTGTGTTGTAACTGCGACTTTTGAGACCTCCTCATTCAGGAGATGATGAAAGAGTGGCTGAATGTAAGGAGACCAGGTGTTTTTTTCCCACTCATCACCATCGCTGTTAATCTGTGACTCCATGCGTGCCCATCTCACAGCTGATGTGAAAAACATGGTGAAACAAATGAACGCTGTGCTCGCTGTTCAACCGCTCGAAATCAGTGTGAACCGGACGCAGCAGAAGCAGCGAGTTTACATGCAAAGTCAATGGTTGACGCGCTATAGGCGCAGCAAAAGGTCAGCAGCGCGTTTTGAGCAGCAGGCGCAGCACGTCGAGAGCGTTTAAGCATCTGACGCGCCGCCAAAGCACTGCTGCTGTCGAGATGGAAAAGTTGAAGTTTTGCTGCTGGACGCGCCGCATCAACCAATCAGAGAAGCTGATCTGGGAGCTGACAGCGAGACAGACACATCGCTGATGATACACATATCTGTGATCGCTCCTCTGAAAAACAGTTTATTGACGCCTAAATTAACTTAACCTGCCGACAGAATATGTTGGCTTTTATTATCCAGTTTTCAGGTGGATTTTCCCATTTAAAAACATATTAAAACTACTTTATTCCCACTGATCACAGCAAATATAGCTGCAAGGCAGAGAAAGGAACGCCACCGTTTGCGGATGGATTGTAGATGCTTGGACTAACGTGTCTGCTGGCTCTGTTGTTCAAGCTTTCGCAAGAGCCGGCATCATTTCCGAGGAGCCGTGCGGCACGGAAAGTGACTCTGACAGCGAAGAAGGGGAAATTAGCATGTCTGATTTAGCGCAGCTGTTTAATTCAGAAACAGAGGATGATGACTTCGATGGGTTTGATTAATACTTTGTAATAAATACATGAATAAAGCACAATCATACTCAGTTTTGCTCCCGCTCTATTTTTAAATACACAGTAGAGGTATTTCAACATAGTAGAGGACATGTACCGGTATATAAAACCCGCGCCCTATAGTCCGGTGCGCCTTATGGTCGTGAAAATACGGTATATTAGTCATGGGTACCTGATGATGGCATTGAAATTATTTCTAAGAGCATTAAAAAGCATTAGATTACAGTTACTTATTGATTCCTGCATGAGTAACTTAGAATGAACGGATGTCAACCATCAGATAACTGAGCTGGAACTGATGGTCCACGGATGGCAGACGCTGGAATACGGAGGGACGTTTTGAAAATTTCTCAAAGTACCTGCCATATGTCGACGTTGGCCAGCGTGTTCCAGCGTTCTTCATCGTGCTCATAACTTTTACCAAACATAACTGATCCAGTTTTTGCTAGATTTTCCGTACGTCAGGCTTTAGCTGAAACACAGAGCTTGTTTCTCTGCAGATTAGCTGATTGACCTGGAAAGGCCAAACTGATCGGAGGAAATGGCAGTTTGTTTAAGCCAAAGCCTGACCTCGCCGTCACTAAACGTATCTGTGTGTAACTGATACCAACATCTATTCTAACCAATCAGAACGATGACATGAACACCTGCATGTCATTCAGTATTTTATTGCATTTCAAAGTTTAACCATCTGATGAAAATATTTTCAGACTCAAACTAAAATAATCGGACCGTAACTTTTATATAAACGCACTTTTTTCAAACATTCTGATTTTATGTTTACATGAAACATTTTTATTTGGCTCATGTCTGCGTAGGCGGAGCTGCAGCTCATATCGGTTGGATGTTAATGCTGCAGTAGGCGTTGGTCCTGGAATTGGTTCGGTCCTTGAAAGTGCTTGATATTTGACGTTAGCCGAGGTTTGGGAACAATGTTTACAGTGCAGGCGCAGAGCAGGTCAGTTGGCTGCCTCCTGGGATGCAGATTAATGCAAGAATTAAACCAAATCCTAGAGGAATAGATCAGTTTAGATCCAAAATTAAACTCTTTTAATTTTAGGTTAAAGATTGAGCAACACTGCCATCTGGTGGTGCAAACGGGTTCCTGCCGTTTTATATTAGCAATTTTAGATCCGGAAGATCTGTGGCTCTCAGTGTTTCAGTGTTTGTGTTTCAGTAAATCATTTAAGCTGTGAGACGTCTGGATGCTTTGAATAGACCAAATGTTTCAGATCCTTCCTCTCCTTCAGCGTTTGTTGTTTCCTGTGTCTGCAGATGCATCAGAACAGGATGCAGCTGCTGCAGCTACATCAGCAGCAGCAGCAGCAGGCCCAGGCTCAGGCTCAAGCCCAGGCCCAGGCCCAGGCCCAAGCCCAGGCCCAGGCCCAGGCTCAGGCCCAGGCTCAGGTCCAGGTCCAGGTTCAGTCCATGCAGCAGATGGTGCAGCAGCAGCAGCAGCAGCAGCAGGTTCAGTCTGGACAGATGCCTCCACACTCCCAGCAGCAGGCTGGGATGGTGCCTCAGTCTCTGGCCGGTCAGATGACGGCTCAGTCTGTTCCCATCAACTCTCTGAGCCAGCAGCAGCAGCAGCACCTGAAGATGCAGGCCTTCCAGGTGAGTTCTGATCCTCTGCACCATCCGAGCAGAAGCTGCTGCGCTGCGGCTCACTCTCCTCTCCTCTGCTTGCATGCTTTGCTCTCTGAACGCCGCAGGCTCGTGCAATGCCGCTGCAGCAGGCCCAGCAGGCTGCGACTCAGGCGCAGCTGAATGCAGCCGCCGCTGCGGCCGCAGCAGCCGCCGTACCTGGACAGGTGAGAGCTCTGCAGAAGCCGGAGTTTGGTGGCCGGCCAACGTTTCCCGTCCGCTAACGTCTGTTTGTCTCCCTCTGAAGATGATCCGTGCTTCCATGCAGAGTCTGTCTCGACCTCCTCGGCCTCCTCTGAACTCCCCCATCCCTCCCCCTAACAATGCCCCCGGGGTCGGAGGTCAGATGATGACCCAGCAGGTTGGTGTTCTGCTCTGAGCTCCGCCTCTTTCTCAGCAGCTTCCTAGCAGTCTGTACCAGCAGCAGCATTCTGGTTTGATCTGAGCGCCTTCATCTGGACCAGATCTGCAAACTGGAAACCAGTTTAGTCTCATCTCTGCCTCCACAGGGTCAGCAGCATCCCATGATGTCATCGCCCTCACCTGTGCAGGTAGCCCCACCTCAGATGCTGCCTCCCCCCCAGCCCTCTCCACAGCCCCCCTCCTCCCAGCCCAACTCAGTCAGGTATGTTCAGAGCCCACTCCCCTCGCCGCCGCCCGCCGCTGCTCGTTAAACCTCTTCCCGTTTCCTCCCTGCAGCTCCGGTCCAACGCCGTCTCCAGGGGGCTTCCAGCCCAGCCCGTCCCCTCAGCCCTCCCCCAGCCCTGTCACCTCCAGAACCCCCCAGCAGAACCATGGCGTGGCCTCCCCCGGACCCCTGAACACTCCAGGTAACCCAGAAAGATCCTCTGAGATTTTAAGGTTGGACCAGAACCAGGGCTGCAGGTCATGTGACCCCCACCCTCTCCCCCCACACAGTTAACCCTGCCTCAGCCATGAGTCCAGCTGGAGCCACGTCCCTGGAGGAGCAGCAGTACATGGAGAAACTGAAGCAGCTGTCCAAATACATCGAGCCGCTGCGCCGCATGATCAACAAGATCGACAAGAACGAAGGTGAGCGACCTTTTAACCTCGGATCTTCTTCTGAGGAAACCCTGAACTCAGCAGCACGAAAATCTCCCAACGATGTTAAAGAAACCAGATTTTATGTCCGACTCCATAAATGGAAAATATTCCCGTCTGATGTATTTAGGGACCGTAGGAAATAGAAGCGACTTAAAAACCTTGATTTAAAAGGATGAGCTGATGATGCTGATGGTTCCTCTTTACTTTGATAAAAATCGTCCAGCAGTGACTGAAAATGATGCCAAACTTTATTCATAAAGTCGTACGGCGACAGAAACGGCTGCCGATGATGACAGTTCTAGCTCCCACAGTTCCTGAAGGCAACAGCTGGGATTATTTTATTCAATCAGTCGTCATTCCACACCCCGGCTCATCTAAGCCCCACCCCCATGCCGAGGGGTCAATTGTTTAAAATCGTCAGTTAGGGTTTTATTTTGAATCCTTTTTTTTTTTGACTAAATAAAAACTTAAATATTTTTTAGTTTTCCATTTTTTTTATTGTTTTTGAACAAACTTTAGGGCCTAATTATCTCCATAGTTTCTGTCTTGCTGCTCTGCAATCTAACATAAAATAAATTCCTTTGTTTATTATGAAGATAAATTGAATGTTTAATTGAAGTGAATGTTTGTGGTTCTGCTGACAGACAGGAAAAAGGACCTGAGCAAGATGAAGAGTCTGCTGAACATCCTGACCGACCCCAACATCAGGTAGCGTCTGGAAACCCGCAGCTCCTCCCCACTCAGAGACGCCGCTTCAACTCGCGGCCTCTTTGTTCTTCTGACCTCCAGGTGTCCCCTGAAGACGCTGCAGAAATGTGAAATCGCTTTGGAGAAACTGAAGAACGACATGGCCGTGGTAAGAAGCGCAGCACCCACTCTGTGTTTGATGGATCTATGAAGAGCTTTGAATCCGGGTCCATCGTGTTCTTCGCTGCTGCATGAAGACAGAGAGGATCATTAGCTCCAGTCTGACGGGCTGAATAAAAAACAGCAGTGAAGTTAATCCATCTGGATTATTAGAAATCAGAGACTTAATCCAGAAGAGACGATGGAACCAAGAGGTTCATTAGGCCAATTATGTCCGATCAGCGCCACCACGCAGCGTCTGGGCCTCTGCCCAAAGCCAGGCTTTCACAATAAGAGCCCTGTCTGGGTTTTTTTCACAATAAGAGCCCTGTCTGGGTTTTTTTCACAATAAGAGCCCTGTCTGGGTTTTTTTCACAATAAGAGCCCTGTCTGGGTTTTTTCACAGTAAGAGCCCTGTCTGGGTTTTTCCAAAACAAAGGGCACCATCAGGGTTTTTTCACAATAAGAGCCCTGTCTGGGTTTTTCCAAAAATAAGAGCCCTGTCAGGTTTTTTTCACAATAAGAGCCCTGTCAGGGTTTTTTTTCACAATAATAGCCCTGTCTGGGTTTTTTTCACAATAATAGCCCTGTCAGGGTTTTTTTTCACAATAATAGCCCTGTCAGGGTTTTTTTCACAATAATAGCCCTGTCAGGGTTTTTTTTCACAATAAGAGCCCTGTCAGGGTTTTTTTTCACAATAATAGCCCTGTCTGGGTTTTTCCAAAAATAAGAGCCCTGTCTGGGTTTTTCCAAAAATAAAAGCCCTATAAGGGTTTTTTCCACAATAAGAGCCCTGTCAGGGTTTTTTCCACAATAAGAGCCCTGTCAGGGTTTTTTTCACAATAAGAGCCCTGTCTGGGTTTTTCCAAAAATAAGGGCGCTGTCAGGGTTTTTTTCACAATAAGAGCCCTGTCAGGGTTTTTTTTCACAATAAGAGCCCTGTCTGGGTTTTTCCAAAAATAAGGGCACCGTCAGGGTTTTTTCACAATAAGAGCCCTGTCTGGGTTTTTCCAAAAATAAGGGCACCGTCAGGGTTTTTTCACAATAAGAGCCCTGTCTGGGTTTTTCCAAAAATAAGGGCACCGT